CCGATTAGTGATGAATGCTAATGAGCATTTAGGAGAATGTCGCGGGTCCACCGCGGATTCTGAAATCAAGCCGGGGTACCTGAACTACCTTAGAGGTTTGTGGAATGAGGCTGAGATATCTAAAGCTCACGCTACGATGATTTATTTCCGTTTATGCAAAATTTTGCGATGCTTTACGATACTGAGCGCACAGTGCAGGTGTGAAGAAACAACCATTTACGCAGTTAGCCTAAGTACTTCAAGTTTGATGCAAAAATGCATGATCGCACCGGCTCGCCTGGTGTGTTCCAGCTTGGGTTTCTACCTTATTGGATACTGGTTGCAGTGCTTAATTTGACACCTTCAAGCGACTTTAATATGCTTTTTTCACATTTATGCAAATGCAAAAAATCATACTTTCAAGAGGTTGTCGGTGTATGTATGTGCGTATGTATGCATGTGTTCGAACTTCTGTCATCCACGTTTAACTTTTTAACCGCAGAAGTTCGGAAGTTGGAATTCTACAATGATGTTCCTAGCCCATGTGCCATCCAAACAGCTCAAAATCAGTGCTCGTGTATACCTGGGTTCCGTGTTTCGAAGCCTCTTTTAATACTTCAATTCTGAATCTACGCTTTCTCCGGACTAATTTCCACTTCATTCCAGACCCACTCTTCCCAGTGTCATTCAGGCTCCCTCACAACTGAACAAATCTGATGTAAGAATGTGCAAAACTGAAAACAACCTCTCCTCGAGTAGCATCTGATTCCTCCAAGTCCGTGGTATTAGCATCTAATTCATCCAATTCCGTGATCTTAGAATCTAATTCTTCCACGTCCGCTATCCCTTCATCCGATGCATCGCTCATTCTCATAGAATCTGGCAAAAAAAAGCTGAAATTGTCTTTCGATATCATATTATCACTGAAATCTTTCGGGATTACTGTACTTTGAAGCCTGGATTCGGACGTCACTGCCGATTCATTCCGAACAACAAGACAACTTGAAAACACATCCTCAGGCATTTTCGAACATATAGCCCTATGCTTGCTAGGTGTCCAAGTATTCGTCCAGGATCGCATTTTAACACATAAAATGGGACTTGGGACGCAAAACCGGCCCTCGGAATCCGAAGGCTTAGGATGCCTTGTCCCAGAATATGTGACCGCACACGTCACTCTACGAACACATAATCCGAGATTTAGTAAACGTATAAATATTGAAATATAAAACTATATTTAAAAAAAATAATCGAATGAACAAGAAAGTTCCGATCCATTAAGTCTTAAACATTCCTATTTAGCACTACGGCTGAACCTCATCGGTACGATGACTGCGGTGTTTTGAAAAAGTGATGCGGGGAACATTGGCGGGCCTAGGAAAGGGGAGGGGGTGAGAGATTTTTCGCCCCCCCTCCTCTCCCCTAGCCACCACAGGAGATCGTCCTGGATTCGTCCATTATGAGAATTTAATTTTTATGAAAAAACACGTGGCAATTTTGAAAAATAAGGACCGAAAAGGACAAGTGGCCACCACCCCCCAGCATCCTGAAATATCCAGAAAAAGACATAAACAAACACACACCCATCCAGAGAGACAGAG